ACACAGGTAGTAGCTGTGGCCTCATAGTACACATGTAGTGCGGCAAGCAGCTTCTAGGAGCTGTGGCCTCAGAAGTGGCCAAATTGCATCTGAGTACGTGAGTGCCGTTCGTGAGTGTCCCAGTGTCCCACAAAAGTGTTGCACAAGAGTCCGCAAGAGTGTCCCACAAGAGTGTCCTACAAGAGTGTCCCACACAGTGACCAAAGTGTCGCACGAGAGTGTCCCAGAAGAGCGCTCTACAAGAGTGTCTCCTACAAGAGTGTCAAAAAATGTTTGGGCGTTTGTTTTCGAGTACGTGTTTGCATTCGGGTGCGTGGGTTCCATCTTGTTCTTTGTTTTTACGTGGTTTTGGTGCAGAGCTTGACTTACCTATGTTTGCTTCAAATCCCGAAATTCAAGACAATTCAAGCATGTATTCTGATACAAATTGCTGGCAACTCGGCCTGCCCATACTTCTCGAGCCTCTAACAGCCTCTCTCTCACTCCCTCAGTTTATAGCGTCTTTCTGTGTGGCAAGATGCTCAAAAGGCCTGGAAGCCCGTCGACCACCTGCGGATCCTCTCCAGCGAAGCCCAAGCGTGCAGAACTGTAGCCTGCTAGCGAGCATCTCGTCAGTCAATAGTCATGTCGGTGAGATTTGAAGCGTTTGATGGACAAAACGTCACCCAAACACTTTCGGAGGCCATCGCAATTAATTGGAGGAGGCCATCAGTAGGTGTCTTTTTTGTTTTTTTCTGGCTTTGGCTTGCCGTTTGTGTCATCGAATCGCCCATTGAGCTCTTCAGCTTTTCTACATTGAGAAATGACAACGATGACTTTGAAGCCACAAAAGGGTTGTATTAGTTGTATTGAAAAAAAAAGGAGAGTCACGACTCACAACAGGCCAATGTCGATCAACTCAAATGCTGGTGCTCCACTCCGCAGTCAAAAACACAATGTGTCATGGCCTATATCCACAACCGCGACCCGCCGCCATTGCTCTACATGCATATCAGTTCAGGTTATTTCCCGCACTACATCCTGGCTGGTATTTAAGTTCAAATAGTTACATGTGATGTTGAATTATTTGTTGTCCAGCAAACATACTCGTGCGTGTGTACAAATACTAAAAGTCATATTAGCGCCAGCATCAATGATCATGTGTGAATCCTGCCTATACACTACACTCAGAATAATCCCTGCATCGAGAAGTTAGGGTGGTTGGAAGAATAATAGTAGGGCGATAGCGACGATAGTGATATTATCTCGCACAATCACAAAGACCAGGCACTCAGCATGACCCTCTCTTGAAATTGCTTACAAGGTCAACCACCTAACCTAGTCCTTGAATGCAAAGACAACTGCCAAACCGCATTGCTCGCCCTAGCACAAGGCAGCGACAAATCTGCCTACTGCCACAACAAAGCTGGGCAAGCAGCAATCAATTGTCTTGAAGGACAAGAGAGTCTTGGGGCCAGGCTGGTCTACAAGCGGGTTGTAGCAGGTATCGCTCCATTCAGACCAGTCCTGTGCACTGTCTGAGAGGTGTCCATGTATCAGGCAATTCTGAAATCCACAACTGTCAACTGTCGCTTGGAGGTCAATAGCAAACACCTGGCTTGTCAACATGTGGGTCGCTGCGGCTACATGTTAATGTTTTAACATGGAATTTGTGCCCTTTCTGCAATACTACGATACCATGCACCGCCAGATCTCAGAGCAAACACTGTGAAGCCAGGAGTATCTAAGGCAAGAGCATCCCAGTGGCAATTCACATCCTCCTGCAGTTGGCACCTGCCAGGTTGTAAGGGGATCGAGGCCTTCCTGACACAGGTTGTTTCACAGCCTTCTAGTCGTAGTCTGTCCAAATGCTTCAGGCTCGTGTGGGCTATAGGTTGAATATACAAACGCAACTCAGGCTTGTTCCTGCCTTGAGTCAGCCATGCAGCCGGAACCACCTCCTTTCGTCATCACTCTCGGTCCATGACAAGGCCTGCGAGGAGGAAGCACCGAAGAACATGAAACATATCACGAAGAAGTTATTTGCAAATGTTTAAGGACATATTACCTTAGCTTGGCGCTTCCCAGGTCAAGAAACCTTGAAGGTGCATGTTAAATGAATAGCAAGAGCAGCTGATTTCCCAAAAGAAACAGCTGCCCCGCAATTTGAGCCAAGCATGTATTTGGTTCAAAAAAGAAGGCACATGTCACCACATGCGCCTGCCGCAGTCGTTGTTGCGCTGTATGATGCTCCTTCGAGTGTAGCTGGTTGCAAACAGCTGCAGGATGAGATGGCCCTAGTTATGCAGCATGCAATCTGTCACTTGGACTATGTCTTGTCAAGTTGAACAGCCGTTTTCCTGGCCTCTCCCGCTGGCAAAGGCCGAAGCAGCCGCCAAGGTTTGACCTTGATATGCCCAGATTGCCTCGTTGAATATGTTTGAAGTATGTTGAAGTAATACAAACAATCACGAAGACACGTTCCTGTTTCGAGGAGGTAGGTCCACATTGCGTCTGGAACGTGACTGATTCTATATACCTCTACTCTCTTCTTCCATGTACTAGCTCATCCATCATCCACACACCAAGTGTGCTGAGAACATCATTCGGGTAGAGTCAAGTGTTGAGATTCAACGTGTAGCTCCAAATCGGTGAAATGGACCTACTTCTCCTGTACGGGTACCTTTGAAAAACTCAATGCACAACAGTACAACCTCCGTGCGGGGGTAAAGACTCACCATTTGGTGGACAAAGTCATGTCCTTCTTGTCGGCTAGTCCCTGCCGAAATGATTTGTCCAATGCCTAACAGCTCGTTTCTGAAAAAGGTCGTTCGGCCACTGGGAGTGCTGACCAATGCGACCAATCGCTGAACTCGCAGTTCACTGGCTCACAGGTCTCAAGACATGACCTTCAGGAGTGAGGGAGGGATGTGTGGCGGAAGTCAAGAGGATTTCTGATCAACTACAATCTAAAAAGCAAGCTACATGACTGCCATGACTGCAGTAAGTGCATAACTTCCAAGTTGTGCCGCATGGATTTGTTTCACTTTGTAACTCAAAGGGCTTGTATAATTGATTTATTATTCAAGAAAAAAGCTGGAAAATATTCGATCTAACTATGTCCTGCAAATGTCTGGAATAAAACAGGAAATTCTAATCTGATCCAATCACTACATGAGCTCCTGTCACAAAGCTCAAACCTCTGCATTGATACAGCCTACCACTTCCCTTTGGCGAACCCTTCAGACTTAGCGACTAAGTCATTCATTCAAAGTCTGTGACAAATCAAAAGGACTTGCCAACGATGCTGGAATCCTTAGATGCTGACGCTGCCAAACATGAGCTGACTTCCTTCTCGAAACCTGAGTTCAGTGCCAAAACTGCTGCGTCTTGATCGCGCTTCAAATATGTGCAAATGTTGAATAAAAATATAAAATGACACAATCCCATCTCTCCTTTCTTTGCTTCACCTTTTCCTTCCAATTCTCCTGCCCTTCTGTGGTCTTTCCTTTATATTGTTTCTCTGTACAATTAATTTGTAGTTATAAGTTATATATATATATTTATTACATAATTACTTCAATATAATATAATCTTTAGCAAGGAAGGGAGGGAGGGGGGGGGGGGGGGAGTCCCGTTGTTCCTTTGATCTTGACATGGAGATGTGGCTTTTACAGTAAAATTGCTAATTGCTGCCGATTGTACAGTCAGGGTTCGACGCATTGCCACACACTCGGGCACCCTACCAGCACATTTCCCAACCGGCTTGTCGTTGAAAGGGAAAACCTCAGTGCAAGACTGGATGCACAAAGCCGTCTGCCGCACAGGCAATATTTCTAGTCTATACAGTATTTAAGAACCGCCAAAATTAAGTTTGCCTCGACATACCTCGAGGCCTCGAGGTGCCTTCTCCCTCAAATTAAAGCTCACACATGCAAAAATTGAATCTTTCCTGAAGGTCGATCTATGTGGATTGATTGCAGTCATCTCGCCCTCTCCCGTTGCAATAAGTTGAAGCGAAACAACTGTCAAAACTGCTTCTTTTGCACAAGCGGAAAACTCATGTTGAATGGTCGCACAAAAATAAGACAAACATTAATAATTAATCATGCATGTTCTTTGGCACCAGGGTTGGTCAGTGTCTCTGTACAACCATGTCCGTTCCTCAAGAGAAATAGTTGGCGTGCAAGAGAATGATTCTGATAAATCTGACACTGAACATCAACCCCTTTGGAGATCAGTATGGAGAACAAAGCAGAACTGGCAGGAAGAGAAAGGGCAAGCACAGCGAAATGATGTGTTTTTGAGGGTCAGGCCACCACATCTGGTTTATCTTCACAACCAAGCCCCTCAAATTTGCAGCAATATTCCTTGCATGAGTGCAAACCATAAACCGGCGATGCACCGGTGGGTTCAATTATCTACTCCATGGCAAAGGGTTTAACATTATTATATATAACCCTGCACAGCTAACTCCTCAACAAATAAAACGTGGGTCTATCCTATGACCTGCAACAGTGGATGATGATGGTTAGTAAAGGCCTTGTTCAAAAAATGATGATAATTGTTTACTGACTGTTACAGGTAATAGGACAAACAAACCCTAAATAAAACTATAATGAACTATAGAAGCTTGCAATGAACAAGGGCGGGGAAGGAGTTGGATGTATGAATGTTCATGCATCAGCCCAGGATTCTTTGCTCAGTGTCGAGGCATTCAAAGAATGACAAATAAACAAAGGCACAAACCAAGCACTGCCTAGATCTCAATTATTCTCAAATTGTGTCTGTAGGCACAAAAATCGACTGTGCATGACTGTGCTTCTGTGATGTCCTGCAATGACAGCAGGTTGGCAAATCTCACTCCACTGCAATTGCTGTCTGTCCTTCTTGTCAGACGACCAGCCCTCTCGAAAGTTCCAGTAACCCACTCGGCATGCGAAGGGCCTTGGTTCAGAGCAATTCATGGCTGGAACGCCTAGGGCCATCGAGGGCTCAAAAAAATATCAAAAATGAACCTCGTGTGTGTGTGTGCTCCTTGCTCTTCATCAAAAGCTCAAAATTGCTTGTGCACACAGCGGATCAAGGGTACAACGGTATAACAATGTTTGAAGTGTCTGGAAAAGAGCCACATTTTGTATGTCAGCTGGTGAGACACACCAAGTCAAGAATTATCGGTATGCGAGTTTCGCTGCCACAAGATACACAAATTTGACCACAACCAGGCTCGTGAAAGTAACTTGAGGCTGAGATCAGGAAATTGGAACAAACATGCACATCTGGACTATGTGCTCAGCCACGGACGGCCTGGTTGGTCGCTCGTCTCCCCTGCAAAGATTGCTACCAGTGTGGTCTAACATGTGGATTTACTCCAGAATCAAAGTGGCATCACAGCTCAGTGTACATGCTTGCAAAATGCACTGCAGTATCTAACAGAAAGGTGGTACTGTAGGGAATTACAACTATGCAAATAGTGCAAACAATACCTACAAGGGCTGATCCAGAATGAGTTGCTTAAAGAAGCCCTCTGTTGTGCGTACGGTTCTTGCTCGCAGCCAATGTCGGTGTGGCGGCAACACCTCAGAGGCAAACCACTACAAAATGCAACAAAGAATTCCTTGAATCAACGAATTACTAGGACTAGGCGAAGTAGCAACCCAAACCTGAACTTTAAATAACAAATATCTCTGTATCAGGGCAACAGGGCTGGACAAAGGAAATACCCCTCAAGACTCTTGGCTTCCTGAGTGTTTCTTCATGTTTTAACATGTTTGTGGACATCTCTGGGTTTTGAGGTGGGAAAGCAAAGGTCTATTGAAGAAGCTCGTCATGCTGTAGATGTCAGCAGCCCTGATCTAGTTGGAAAGGTCTGAGACAGTCAGTCAACTATATAACTATAATTATACACCAAGGTGGTGTAAAGCATACGTAAGCACCTATGCAAAACACTCCCAATATACCCTTGGTACGAAGAACCGAAGAACCTACCGTTGATCTCCATGCCAGTTCACACAATTCTCGGTCATTGAACATCCGCAGTAGAAAAGGCACATGAAGATGTTGCAGCCTTTTCTGCGGCGAGAACAAGATCCTGGTCTCAAGCAAATAAAATTTGTGGCCTGGCTACTAGGGGCTCCTGGCATTGCTACTAGGAGCAAGGACGCTACTAGGGGCTGTAACATGCTCAGTGCTCAGCTGTTCAAATATACACGAGGAACAAAATACGGGTGTCCCGTCTGACATCGGTGCCAAAACCACTCAAACCAAACCATGGTGTTTCAATGTGAACAGCAAAGCCAGGCGTTGAATGGATCATGTCAGATGAAGCCCTCAGAACTTGAAGTATTGACCGAAGGCGTCAGGCATATTACCTCAAGGGATCCATATGAAAAGCAAATGACAACTTCAAGAAGAAATGACAGGTACAGTCTGGTTCACCTGTTTGTCAGCCAAAATGGAACACCATGGAAGACCTACACATGCACATACTGCATGCATCAACTTGGATCTGGTGCACGTGGCAGGTAGTGCTATCAGATTTAATCATGGACATCACTAACCCAAACGCCAAAACTATGTTGACGTACATACATGCATACATGCTGCAAACATGTAGTGCTGTGTCTGAACAATTTCTAGCATGCAGGTCAATTCAAACGGCATTATATAGACCAAAAAGCACCTTCACCTTTACCACACTGCCAAATGAGAGTCAACCCCTGATGACCAGGTTCTCAAGCATTCTTCTGGTGGATATGACTGACTGTTTATCCAAAACATGTGCTGCTACTACTAGTAACAACACTTATAAAATTTATCTGACAATATTGGTCTCAAGAGATCTCGATCACACAAGACAAGAGCATCTTCACAGAAATAGTCGTGATAAAAGACTTCCTTCCGCTATTGTGCAACGCAGCTGCCACCATCCTTCAAAACCGATTGTGTCGCTGCTTCCGATGCAAATCGTGTGTAGAAGTTGCTTAAACCTGGGTAGTCTTTCAGGATGTTCTCCTCGCAAATAAATCGTCAGATTGCTTTTGGAGTCAAACTGTCATACTCCGATCATATTGTGCCAACAAACAATGGTTATGCAAGCATAATTCCAAGCAAACCAAAAGCGCCATTCATCCACAGGTTGTCGTAATCGGATCCAGGTTTGGGGATGGTTTGGCGTCTGCATGCACTCAAGGCAGTCCTGGATAAGCTTCAAGGCATGAAGAGTGGAGAAGAGCTTACATTCGCCAACAGTGACGCCTGAAGAGGTAAACTTGCCACCTCAGACCAGGCTCAACACTTCTGACATGCTTGACCCAAGCACAATGAAACCTGTTTCTTTCTGAGGGGCTTGGAAAGAAGCACACCTGGATCACTGAAAACAAAGTAAGTAAGAACAGCTGCAGTAAATCAAACTCCCTGCCCCTGTTATTCTTGAAGTTCAACGAACTCCCTAAAGGAGGCAAGCAACCCTCAGCTGCAACAGGCCAAGGTGCTTTGTGCGCCACATCTTTCGTAGAAAGCCTGAGAATGTAGCAAGCACCGCAAAGCAAAGCCTCTACTCAGCTTCGGCAAGCATTCTGTGACTACACTACACTGATACTACGTATATAAAAATGTGTTATAATACTGTATATATATATATAAAGGGTGATCACCCTTAGGTCCACGGGCTGCTGAGTGTCCTCTGCAACCTACCATGTGATCTTCATCAAGGGTCCGTCGCAGAATGATAGCCAGGCAGCAGCATCACAACGTGTTTTTCTTTTTTTTCATATATTGTTTTAAAGCACATACCAATTGTCAGTGGCAACAGTGTCCATTCAAGACGAACAACTTCGTTGCTGGAGTGAAGGTCGAATATCCACATATGTAATCATATATATTACTGCATGTATATATTAAAAAATGAAAATACATTATTAATGACCTGGGTCTCGAGCTTGCGGACGCAGAGTCTCCCCCCCTCAAGGGCCCTTCCACGATGGTTGCATGGAGTCCAGCGGGTTTGAACCTAAGATAACCTAGTTGGATCTTGATGCATCAATCAGGAATCCTTGCCTACAGAACCAGATTGGCCAATATTGTTAGATCGAGTAAAAATCGATGTGCTGATCGAGTACACAACTAGCGTTTCTTGCGTCAGGTTATCTCATCCTCAAATAAGCCGCGTAGCCCCATGATGTGAAGACCGGCCAAAAATCAAAAGCAAGGACAGCTAGAAACAACGGAAAGGGTCGTGGCCGGTATAGCTCCTGCGATTGCCACAGGTACAAGTACAACTAGAAACCCAAGTGTCGCCATCGCCGCCAAGTGTTTGGGGTCGAGGCAAGCCCCAAACCACAAGTGCTGTTGTCAGCCAAACGCCTCCACTAGAACAACTGCATCGATGTATGCCTTGAGCCCCTCATTACTCCAAGCAACTTCCAGAAGCTGTAGGTAGACCTTTAGGCCAAAATTCCTGGAGGGAGCAGAACTGGTTATGATACCTCACTAGTCACCAATTCAGAAAGTTTCCACCAACAACATCCAACAACTATTTTGCCAGCAAAAGTTGCAGGTTCTTTGTCTAATTCTTGCTTGGTAAACGCATTTGCTGCGGGTTGGTGGTATCTTGTCACTTGTCTGCAAGATGGCCTGTGTAGGGGAACCTCTGTAAAGCAGGTTTGTCCTTTGTGTGTTCATGCTTAATTACCAAATCAAAACCCATCCATGAGACCAACAACTTCAAAGGTTGTGTTGTGATGGAGGCTGTGCGTCGTTGCCCGCAAACAAAATACTCAAAGACTGCTTGTGGAGGTTCATTTGTTGTTTCAGCTTCATTACGGTTTTCCTCTAAAGGCCTAAGCTACAGCTACAGTACATGTCTTGGAATCTGTTTGGTGGCAAGCAAGAACGACAATTTCACCAGCTTCACCAAGCGGACCTGAAACTGTCATATGACTAAAGCATTCAGTGAGTCATGTGCGGATTCTGAAACTCTTTGTTCTCATGCATGCGTGTCCGGCACCTGTTGTGTGTTTGCTGATCATTTGCAACCCAAAATGCGGCTGCAGCCTCACCTGGGACACAGGCAACTTGGACAAAATACAGGGTTCCTGGCTGCCTTTGCCATAAGGCCTACTCTACGTTCCACATGTTACTACATGGGGTATTGAAAAAAACACGTATCTTTTGCAATACCTCGAAGTCATGCTATCGTTTTTCTTACTGTTATCGTTTTCTCAGGTGTTGGTTTCTTCGCACACAGGAACGGTTAAATTAGCAGATTTCCAGTGAGGTTTGAAAGCTACTAAGGCCTTTGTAGGTTCTCAGGCCTTCCTTAGGCAGGGGGGGAAGTGTAGGAGGAGGATAGTCAACTCTTCCATGAACATTCTCTATCTATTGTTGATGGGACAGGTTGAAATCCATGAGATGTACATGCATAATCATGGTTATCGTTTGGTTTACTATACTCTTATCGTTTTCTGGGGTATGAATGCATCAGTCATTAGTAGTGTTAAGGTGCATGCCAATACAAAACTGCTGAGCGGAGGGTTATTTCATCAGCCCACATGTGATGGCCTTCGGCCATTGCAAATTTTACATGTTTTTTTGTGTTCCGTGTTGAGACTGTTGCTCCACAAACCGAGCCTGGTGTCATGGCACTATATGGCAATCATGAAAGAATCAGCTTTCTACCCCCTCCGAATAGATTCCATACAACAGTTGGTTGCTAAATTAACAACTTGGAGTCTTGGAGCCACAAACGTCCCATGTATTTGCCTGAGGAAACTTCATACGCAAAACAAGTGTTTCTCTGGCCTGATAGCATTCCAGACTTCAGCTGGGAGAGTTTCTGGTAGATATCTTCGGCCTGAAACGGAATCAGCCCAACTTTATGCGATGTGAATCACATATCACATACAAAGTACTGTGCATGTATCTAAGTACAGCGATGATGTAAAACTACGCGTTTGCGTGTCCAGTCGCGTACGAGTATCTTCCGTTGTGCCAATACTTAAACTATGGTCTCTTGGACAGCTGCATTCATTGCACCTGTCGAGTGTAAGTTACGCCTCTGTCCATCTCCATTTGTAGTAGTAGTTCTCAGTTCTCACTTGTTCCTTTGTTCAAACTGATATCCTATCGCCTTTCAAACGTCTCAGTCTTAGTCCGAGTGGAATTTGCGTGCGTTGGTGCGACCTTTTGGGGGTATCCGCCGACCCCCTGCGCCTGAGACCACCACAGGTGTGGATTACTGCGGTGGCTGTGTCAAGGGTGGCGCCCCCGGCATAGCTTCTTGTTACTACTAGTAAGGCACTTGTTACTAGAAGCGATGCACTCGTTTCTAATGGCTTCTTGTTACTACTAGTAAGGCAATGGTGTTCATCAAAAGACACTTTCTTTTTATGAGGCTTGCAAGCCGCCAGAACTGTGTCTCTATCAGGCTTCAAGACTGTCGTCTGGCATGTTCTTTACCTTCAAAACCTGGTTAACACAGCGTTTCTTGCATCGTTCGTGGGTAATGCGTTGGCACATGTACAGTACATACATTCACTGCTTAGATGTACATACAGTAATATGTTCTTACTGTTGTCGCTTGGCTCGCCAGCTTTTGTCTGAATTATGCGCTTGCATGTCCAAACCTGTATTATCTTCCCTCGTGCCACTTTAAGTATGTGCTCTTTGACAACTCTATGTATTGTACCTTTCGTGCTTGCAGGCTTAAAATATATGTTTGGCCCTAAGTACATGGTATATCGCTTTTGGTGACAATATTTGTTGTCAAGTTGTCATCCAATGCTTTCCATTCTGGGCCGAGTAGAAATTGTGCGCATAGATCATAAACACTTGTCTTCCTTGGTGCGAATCTCTTGGTGTGCTGTATTCAAGGTTCTTGAGACATCAACTATGTGCAAGCACTTGAACATCCAATTCAGCCATCAGCGAACATTTCTTAAGTGCTTTGTGGTCTATGGATGTCTATGGAACATACATTCTGCTTGGATAATGAATGTGATTTTGCAACTTTGTGTAAAAACAGAAAACTATGTGCTTACATTTCAAAATATGTTGATGCTGCGGGAAAGTTGTTCTTGATATTCGATATGTAATGCGCAAGAACAATTGAACGAGCAACACGCGCAAAAAAACATGCCAGATCTTGGTAGATGCTTTGCTATTGGGCCTTTCAGCTGGCTTAACTGTTGTGCGATAGTTGTAGCAGCCGCACGTAGCAAGTAAGTAGCAAGTACCGTAGTCAGTAGTCAGCATTACTATGACTATGAGGAGGAGTAGTAGTAGTGGTGGTGGTAGTAGTAGTAGTAGTAGTAGTAGAAGCAGTAGTAGTAGCAGCAGTAGTAGTGGCAGCAGCAGGAGTAGCAGTAGCACTAGCAGTTGTAGAAGTAAGTATATCTATATAATAGGTATTAGCAGAAATAGTTACGTAATATCTCTGCTGTTCTACTGGCCTGCTGCATGAGCTGCTGCGAGACAGCAAACTCTTTTGCACCAGCACCCGACATCTTTTGAGATTTCTGACCTTGGGCACTTCACAAAGGCCAACACATTGAAGAATGCGTTCTTGATACTTGGCTGACTTGGCTCAAATCCTGCTCAAACCGTTTGCAAACCTGATAACATGCTTGGACTGATCGCGTCTTTCAACGTAGCAGCAATCCCGGTGTAGCGTCTGAAGCTCAGTTTTTGGCCAATGTAGTTAAGGATTGCCAGCTCATGACCAATCCTTTGTGGATCGGAACAACTTGACTTGTTGCAAAGGATTTCCACCCCTCAAAAGGCTAGAGCAAAACAAACACAGGCGCTCAAAACATGCGAAATTATGTTGACTCAAAAAGAAGAAACTTACTCAGTTTCCCCAAGACTCGTCCCAGCATCTTCGGTTTCCAGGGTGGGAAGGTGCAGGAAGGGTGTTGTCGGCTTTAGGCCTTTCCAGTCCTGAGGAAATTCGCCTGCGAGCTTCAAACCAAACAAACTAACTACCTATGCAAAGAGAAGCAAATAAAATCCATATCTGCCGGGACAACACTGTCTTGATAGCTCCGAACCAAATCTCTTCCTCACATTCATGAACTTCCGATTCCTAACAGGTTAGAACAAAGCCGCCAACATGTTCTGTAAGTTTATCGACCACCGAAGGGGTTCAGGCCAAGAAAAAAAACATGTCCCAATTTGTGAGCTGCTATTTTGGACACTGGTTGGGATCAAGAAACAATTCAGGGGTTGAAGCAAGTTGATTGCAAGTTGATCCTACGGTGCTGCATGGCACATACTTGCGACGTATGATGCCACCAACACCCCAGACGGGTCAAAGTCGGTTGCCTCAAGAATGTTGTGATGTCATAAATTGGGTCAATGTATTGTATATATAATTGTTGACTGTGACGGACTGTGATGATCGGAAGACTAAAAGGCAGAACTGGCCTCGCCACTCCATGCCACTGTGTTGCAAAGCCAGTGCGCAGGCAGGACCCTTTGCCCATAGTGGGAAGTAGGTAAACCTCAAACATGCTACTCAATTCCTCGCTGGTGTTGCTGAATTAAGCCCGAAGCAACTGCGAGCCCGAAACCAGATCTGTATCGGGCCTGTATACATGCTTTTGATTGGATCACATGTATGTGCACAAGGGCATCTAGTATCATCTAGCAGCATCTAGGATACAGTATCTGAGAGTACTTTGTCACTGCTAATGCTAATCAGGCAATTCACCCCCGCAGCTTGTAGGCCTTGCTCTACACACATCTTGTTACAGCAATGGTTCTGCTGAACACATCCCTTATTTCTTGGCTGTGGCACTTGACTGCAGCTTGGCGTGCAACCAAACATTCACCTTGGAGAGCTTGGGAATGCCAGGTCTCCAATGTAGACACGCTCTTTGCGGGAAAATCAACCACATTGTTGTCGTGCAAACAAATCGTTGAAGGGAGAAGAGTTGCCAACCTGTTCCTCCTTGGTGTGACACCAGACCTGTCTTCTTCCTATATTGATTCCGTGTGCACGATAGGCATAATAATTCAGGATGGGCTGTTGCCTTTTGCATTCGTTACCAACATTACTCTGTAGAATGACAAACCCTCAACTACACTACACTCAGCTTGATTCAATGGGGCAAGGGACCACCATTTTCTTCACCCCTACGGTGGAGCTCGGATGAGCAAACAGCAAAGCTGCGCCACCACGTTATCCTCATCCACCCATATTCTTTCAGTCCTCTTCTCAGATCAAAACTGGATCAACGTGCTGCCCCCCAAACTGATATTTCTTCTCAAAACCCCGGTCATCCTGGCTTGGATTCTGGATTGAATGGTTTACAAAACATCATCTCACTTTTTCCTTGTGGACGTAGATCTGACAATACTCACATTGTTCTCTTGAAACATTGCTGGGGCATCCTATGCCACCTTCAGGGCTGTTAGTTTGATGGCTTTGCCAATAACTATGGGACAAGTTCACAAGTTCTTAGTATAGATCACAAGGCTTCACAAGGGTCGCAAGTTCTTTCAGAAAGGAGCCTTTCTCTTTCTGCGCTCTTCGCCTCCATGGGGTGCCAACCTCAGAAGTGGTTCTGCAGCTACGAGGCTTCCAGAGGTTACTTTGGGTCATGGGAATGCGTCGATCCTTTGTCCAAACAGGAAAGCAGGAAGTCTAAGGCGACCAAAATGGTCACTACGGGTTTTTGATGCACATACACTGACGCAAACATACTGGCATCTAGGCAACCCTTATGGCACACGACTTTTTGCCGTGTTCATGCAGGTGTTCGGCACTGAGCTCTACTTCAATGCAAGATACTTTTTCAGTTTGCACAAGAAATCTGGCCATACAATTACTAATGTTCCAGCCGACTGCATTGGCCTCTTGCGGTCTATTCTTAAGCAACAGTTCAGCATGCGCTGTTTGTTTCCAATGCTCATATCTAAAACATCTTGGCTAGTTACTAGTACTGTCCATTTGCAAAAATGGTGTCCACAGTACACATCGACACATTGTCACTCAGAATAAACGTGTCAACAGGTGGAACGTGTTGTTGCACTTGAGTTTCGACAGTAATGGGTCTATCATGGTCCATCATCTTTCACAAAACGGAACATGCAACTGACGCCACATTGACCTCATCATCATCATCATCATCATCATCATCATCATCATCATCATCATCATCATCCAGCTTTCACAAAAACCACTCGATGCAATACTAGTACTGTAGACTTCTTTTAGACTTCTTCGCATCTAAGATCAATATCAATGTGACAAGAACACCAGATCACATGTAGCTTTGCACACAGTACTATTTTGGCCAATGGAATCTGTTGTTGATCAATAATACTTATCACACACCGCAATTCTCTTACTACTTTCATTCATGCGAACGCCCATGACCTCACAAGAACTATATAAGGGTACGGTCTTTTTGGCGTTTTGGATTTTGGATGGATCGATCATCCGGTTCAAGACTTCCTGAGCCTCCCGGCAAAGGCTGTGCTTACAAACCAGCACAGTGGCAGAAAGACAACAAGACGCATGCGAACCATGGCCGGACAAACTCTTGTTATTTCTTGATCAAGTAATTATATAGTAAAGTATTGATGTACAATGTTAAACATCAATACAATTGAAGGTTTCCTCATTTTGATCTCAGCCCAAGCAATATCTGATGATCAGGATGGTCTTCGGAATGTCAAATTCGGTGTTACTAAAGAGTAACAAATAGATGTTGTCAAATACTCTGAACCTAACTTGCGCGACATTTTCCACCAAACTTCTGCAACTAAGAGAAACTTCTGCAACCTCATATTTTGAACAAGGTAGACACATGCCACAATAGCGAACGTATGATGTTGCTCCAGTTGGCCACTTGTCTATTGCTTGAGCAGCAAATCATCGGAATGAATCCATTCTCGGAGGTAGCTACAGTTCGCACATGTATGTTTCATCTTTTTCTATGTCAACCGGAGGAGCCCTAAAGCCTACCATGTCATCGGTGTTTGTTTTTGGGCACCGCACCACTCCTTCTTGCTCTTTGACCAGCCTTCTCTCCAGTTGTTGCGGCCGGCAAGGCAGTCCTAAGACCAACTGCGAAAGCATGGGGATCGAGGTTGGTCATCGCATAAGAGAAGGGAATCGTGTGAATGTCTGAAGCAGATTTGAAGTGCATCGCTACTAGCAACAAGTGCATTACTACTAGTAGCACATAGCTATAGCAAGAAGCTACTAGTTGCGATGCACCTGTTCCTAATAGCGACGCCCTTGTGGGAATCGTGTGATGTCTGAAGTTCAATTGACCGAAATGACGAGGTCTTGCTAGATGAAATGGATGCTGTCTCGAACCTTCCTTAGCACGCAAGGAGGTATGCATGTATGTAGCATGGCGTTCAACAAGGGCACCAAAAGGGTCACTGTCACGTAAAATATGTTTAAACAGAACATGAATGACAGGTAACCACAGCTCCCACTGCTACAAAAGCCACGGCCTACAAAAACCAGGGCCAATGCGAAGGGGACAGCAAAGCCATCATCATTACCTGTGCATCGGAGCCGACATTTTTCAAGTGGAGCAAAACTTGCACCACCGCCACTGCCACTATATAAAGATCTTGTTTAGTATCGGGGCTGCAGTGAAAACTCGAACCAAAGTTAACCATACCATGATACTAAACTCCAGCAAAGCACCTCAACTTCCTTGTGAAACTATGTGGCTATCTGGCAAGCACATCCGAACAAGTTTCAGGATGGAAGATCAAAGCTGCTGACTTCGCTCGTAAAGAAAGTTCACCGACCGTGTTTGCCATGTTCATGAACTGAGGCGTCTCACAGCCGAGCCCCTTCATCTTGCAGCACCACATCTTCTTGCCGACTGACCAGCCTTGGTGACGCCCAAAACCAATGACATCCCATAACAAAGGGCATCGCTGCAAGGACGCTACTAAGTTACTAGTAGCTCCTGGCCTTACTACTAGTTACTAGGAACAAGGGCATCGCTACTAGTAGCAAAGGGCATTACTACTAGTAACTGACAAAACTTGTGGCCAGGACGTTGTCAGGGTGGAGCACTTAGGAATATCAATGGGAGATATTTTTTTTAATTCTACCCTTTCAAACCATCTAGCAGCTCAACACGTCACTCAGTTCAAATCTGACGTGCAGTTTATGTCACATTGCAGCGGGATAACCTCCAATCTCCAGGCAGGGAGATGGACACACCGAACTGAGAACGTTGCAGCTGGATATACACGGCAACAAATACAGGTCCACATACTCAAGAAGAACAACCACAAAGCGCACCCATTTAAGGGAGAGTTCCCCATTAGCCGCCCCAAACAATCCCGGGGGGGGGGGGTCGGCCCCCCCCCCCCCGTCTGTGTTTCGCCTCCGGGTCACCCCCCCCCCCCTTTTGTGTTTGGTAGTGTCCTAGGTCCCCTAGGCGTGTCTACGCTATACGTGTGTAGCACCTGTTCTCTTGTATAGATTAGTCTGTAGCTCTTCAGTCCGCTTTCGACCTAATTCATTTGGCTCAAGACTTAGTAGCCCAATACCTGCATCCGCAGCCATAGAAAAGGTGTGCATCGCTGCCGCTCGCACACCGATCGTATTCGTGTGACTCACTTGGTGTTTCGATCAGGTCCAGTTAAGCAACTGCCACTTCTGGGGGAACTTACCCCTCAAAGTGGTAGCGGAGCTTGTGTCTCCTGCTTCGCAACGGTCGATTTTGCATTCGTGCCGAATCGTCCGATATTCCGGACAGGGGACAACCAAGTAAGTCACTTGTCAGAAAACAAATAGACCATGGTCCAGATCTTTAACATAGATACGGACGAAGAGCATGACGACAGCCTGTCGGAAGCAACTGATCCAGAAGAAGCCTTCGCCGCTCAAGGCACGCGTCATCGCCATCAGCAAGGAAGGTCCTCGAGTTCGACATACCGGACGTACGAGGCACAACCATCAGCAGGTGTCAAGATGACGCCAAAAATTCCTCCGTCATTCGATGGACAGTCATCCTGGTTCGAGTTTGAAGATTTGATTGATGACTGGGTGAACATCACCACATTAAGCGCCGAAAAATTAGGCCCATCATTGAAGAACGCTCTAACCGGAAACGCCGAATACTACAAAAAGATGCTCGACAATGAACAGCTTCGTCATGAAAGAAACGGCATTACGTATTTCAAGGAGACGTTGCGCCCATACTTTGTCAAAGGAGCAAATCATGTTGTTCTTTGGCGTTTCATGCAGCTCTTCAGGACCTGGCGCGGAAACGGAGAATTTGTCAGCTGGATCGCTCGTTTTGAAGTCGCTAGTAAGAAAGTCATGGAAGCCTTCATGGGCTTGTTAGATCTTTCGACTGTTCCACAGCCTGATGATTTCAACTTTACTGATATCCTCTCGCAACAGCAGTACACGCTACTTCAACAAATTCAAGATCCAACAGAAAGAAGAGAAAATGCAGAAAGAATCCGTTCTGAACACATTGATGCCTTGAAACAGGCACATCGTGACACCTTTCCATTGTCTGACAACCTGATGTCACTTATTTTCTTAGTTCAGTCGGATCTCAACGAACAGCAAAGAGAAAGGTTTGTAGCCAGCATGGCCTTGCGTCAGATCAACATGAACAGTTACACATACTTAGGTGTCAAAGGCTTATTCCTTGATCTCTTTTGCGGAACCGCCACAGGAACTGCTGATCCTTCGATCCGCAGGCAAAGAAGATCCACTTTCCTTGTTCTCGATGAAGGAGACTGGGAGGAAGAATCCGGATACTGGGTGATGGATCAAGAAACAGGCGAAGAAGGATTTGTGAGTTTGTTCTCAGAATCCGAATTTTGGGTGTTAGCAGCCAAAGGAGGATACACCCGTAGAAGAATCCATGGAAGAAGATTCAGAAAACCATCCAAAGGCGGCAAGGGAAAAGGCCGCGGAAAAGGTAGAAGACCCGGCTTTGTCAGCCGTAGAGGCAAAGGTGCAGGGGCACATTACGCAGAGTACCCTGACAACTCAGGTTTCTATGGAAAAGGCAAGAAAGGAAAGAAAGGTGGAAAGAAAGGACTCAAAGGAAAAGATGCATTCAAAGGCAAAGGAAAAAGCAAGCAACAGAATCCCTTTCAACAATCCAATGTTGCAACCACCGAAGAGCCTGCATCAGCTCAACCAACTTCTAATGCCGAAGAAACCTGGAGTGCACATGAAGCAAATTGGTCATGGGACTCGTACGGATACCACACAGACCAGTACTATTGGCAACAATGGACATACTTTGCGGACGGACAGATGGACAGACCGCAAGATGAAGAGCACCATAGCTCAGAGCCAAGGCCTGACCAGATGAACCAGTCAGCAGATTTCCGGTATTACGGAACACATGCAGAAGAAATGACTGGTGAAGAACATGTTTCACATCAGTATCACCTAAACCCTGCCGGTAGCAGTACAGACTACCGACATTCCGGTTGTTCTGAAGTGATTGATCCACGCTTCTGTTCTTCTTTTGTCAACTTTGACGATGGATTTCACCATGCTTTGCTTTCTGAATACATCGACTTGAGGTACAGTCCGACCTACGTGATCATTGACAGCGGCTGTACCAGAGCAATGGGTTCAAGGACCGCCATTATGCGTCTAGTGAAGGCATGTAAGAGACACTGCATCCAAGATTGATTTCTCTTTTGAGCCTTCGTCAAGTCGATTTTCATTTGCAAATGGTGAACAGTCCAATGTCCGAGAGAAGCTGGTAATCTACTTCCAGAACGACCAGTCACCCACAGGGTGGATCACAACCGCGATAGATATCTTAGACCAGGGCGATGTTCCGATCCTTTTTAGCGTTGAGCAGCTCAGGAACCTTCGCATGTCTATTGAGCATACTCCAGTCGGCGACTATTTGACTTGTCCTTTGTTCGGTCTGAAGCGATTTTCGCTGCCAGTGAGCACTTCGAACCATAATGTCCTAGACATCATGATGTTTGCCAGCTCAGTTCGTAAGCCGAACCATAGCTTCACTGCAATCAACCCTTCGTATGCAGCCTGTCCTGCCTGCAAGAAGGCAGAGACATCCGAAGTGAAGGAAGACAAGTCAGCAGCCGATATTCCGGCTAAGAAGCCCGAGAGGCACATCGCGAGTGGAGATGCCAAGGTCGATCCGCCATCGAAACTTATTTCGATGCCTCCACCGGCTAAGAAGGTGACGCCTCCGACATACCGGAAGACAGAAAAGTCACCTGATTTTGGTACGCCATTTGAGCATTCGAAGATTCCAAGTTCAAGCTCAGGAGCCGAGAAGCCTGACGTACCTCCAGCAGAACCGGACATGCCGGTGAAGTCTGATCCTCAGGAAGAATCAAAGGAAAACGTGAAGCCAATACCAACAACAGTTCATCGAGAGAAGAAGACGCCTAAAGTTTCTGTAACATTGCCGTTAGCATTGCAGAGAATCCATGAAAAGCTGTCTCATCCAACTGAACTCCTGAAACTGCATTTGAAGCACTATCACATGTCAACAGAGCAGTTCAAGAAACGTACTTCAGCTTTGAAGATTCCTGCTAAGATCTATGAGGAGTACGACAAGGTAGTTAAGCAGTGTGATACATGTCAGAAGTCAAAAATTGCACCTTCAAGATCACGAATTTCAGGTATGAGAAGTGAAACGTTTGGAGAACTCACCTTTGTTGATCATGGTGAACTAGCTATCAATGACAAATCCAAACTTCTTTTCCTGATTATCTATGACGGTGCTACTTCTATGACCACTGCTTACGTTTGTAACGGCAAGACTGAAGCAGAAACAATTGGCCATCTTTTGGAGTACTTTGAGACATACCAGTTGAATCCGAAGTATCTTGTCGGTGATCAAGGTTTCATGGGTATTGAACTTGAATCCTTTTATAACAGAAAGAATATCCGACCGATTACTCTAGGACCTGGTACTCCATGGCCAAATAGAGCTGAAGCAGCTGTTCGCATGTACAAAAAGCAGATCACCCTGATGCTTAAGGCAGTGACTGAGGATCCATCCAGATACGAGATCACGTACCGTCAACTCCTCAGACAAGCATCACTTGCCAGGAACTCCATGGTTACTTTTGGTGGAGTATCTCCACTGGAGATGGCATTTGGAAGACGACCTGCAGATCTTTTGTACCCAGAGAACATGACACCTGAACAGCTTACAGCTTCACTTCCTTCTCCAGAGAAAAACATAGATGCCCTCAGAACACTTGCCATGAAGTCTTATTTAGAAGCAGAACAATCAGACGATTTGAGACGAGATATTTCTGCAAGACTTCAACTGAGTGATGGTCCATTCTATCCTGGTGATAAGATCTACTACTGGACAGAAGATAAATCCAAGGTAAAGTCTGATGGAACCCATAGTGGTAAATGGATCAAAGGCAAGGTCATTAGTTCTGACGGTAGTATGGTTGGTATCGATTTAGGCACCAGAATTCTAAAGGTCAACATCAGCAAGGTCCGCAAGGACATCAATCCGATCGAAGATGTTGAGGTGCCACTCGACCCGGTTGCACTACTGAGTTCTGAGAGTGCACGGACCGATATTCCGGTCACTGACCACGCAAGCTCTCTTGTCCAGAGCGACGGAGCCCAGATCGGTGTGGAAGGCTTCACATATTCCTCTTATGCATGGCAACCTGTCATGACTGGCAAGATTGACTTCTTAGAACTATTCGCAGGTTCAGCACGGTTGAGTCAAGTTGCTGCCATGAATGGTTTGCGTGTTGGACAACCTATTGACCTAAGAACAGGATTTGACATCTTGACCAGTGACGGTCGTAAGAGGACGATGGACATCTTCGAGAAACAGAAGCCTAAAGTCATCTTTATGGCGCCGCACTGTGCTCCTTGGAGTCA